AACGAAGTAAGTTACTAATGGTTTCGATCGAATGGATTCGATCCCGCAGGTTGCGGGATCGAATCCCGGCTGCGGCGGCTACATTTTCGATGGAGGCGGAAACGTTGTAGGCCCGTGTGCTCAGAGTTGGGTGGGTGCAGGTTAAAGAACCCCAGGTGGTCGAAATTTCCGGAGCCCTTCACTACGGCGTCTCTCATAATCATGTGGTGGTTTGGGGGCGTTAAACCCCACGTATCAATCAATCAATCAATCAATCAATCAGTAAAAAGTGATATTTTTTTGTCACTTTTCGGTCCCAGTGGTCTGCCCCCTTGAAAGAAGGTGGATTCACACGCTGAACACTGCTACGTTGTGCCTATAGGCCTCCCAACCTCCGCCAGGTGGCGCTGCACGGCGCGTGTTTCGATGCCTTTCTAGCAAAAACCGATCGCTCGATACCCCATTCTCGCCTTCTGCCTGCGCTGTCTCAGCAAGTTCACACTTTCTGCACGGGCTGTTGTCTGGTCGCCCTCATCAGCCTCACCTGTGACTTTCTCCGAAGGTTTAAAAAGATTGTAAAAACGTTTTCACGCTGTGAATCTCATCAGAATCGAGAGCGCTTCATTGACAACCTTTGCAGGACCAATTAAGTCAAACACGGTGTATTTGAGCGAGTGCTATGTGCATGTCGATGGTGAACAGCAATTTTTCCATCATATTAAATGTGAGGTGACAGCGCGAATTCTTTATGTATGTTACCGGTAAAACGCGCATTCGCTGCGGCATTTGTGTCTTCTGGGAGCTGTTGGTAAACCACCACCACGCTTTTGCGTGCGTTTGTATATAGCATTCGGATATTGCTTGAATGCCAAGTTTGTCACACGGCTTTACATTTATTAGGATATCAGTGTGAAGAGACTAAACTTACAACTGCCCTGTTAAGTCCCTTGCATCATTCCAATGCGGAGTGTTCAGTTTCACAAGAGTTTCATTTTTGCCAAGGTTTTCATCGGATGTTAACAAAGTCGTATCGTAACTTCAGTGACACCTTATATTTTTTGCAACTCCTTTGAAAGCATAGTGATGCACACAAAAAAGGTATTTTATGTCCACTTCAACCATGCATGTTTTCTGCAGCTCATGTTTCATTTCGGATAATATCCACGTGTGATCACGCTACGTGTTCACTGATTTGAATGTCGATTTGGTTGTTTCGACAACTCGCTTGGTCTTCATCATATTATACAATACCCACTTGGATCGAGCATGTTTTTAGTTACGCCGAAATTTGCCCCTGATAACCGCGGCAGACTTCGCGAAATCATCGAAAACTTAATTGCTGCCTTAGTTATTTTTTCAACTCATCTTTATAGCGGCAGCTGTATATCTCCCACGGCTTGGGTGCATGCAAGGGTATAATATTTTTTGTGTTAAAACCATCATATTATTAGGAGGTACACTGTGTTTTGAGACTCCAGATTGATTCTGGCCACCTATTTGAAGTGTAAGGCGCGACGACATTGGACAGAGGGTGCACAAAGATCGAGTGCCACTTCTGTTGACATTGAGAATCATGCCACCGTACCTTCAAATATGCAATACCAACTTGCCCTGTCTGCCATCTGTTGACACTGAGCGGCGATGAAAAGTCTACAGCAATCAGCTCAATAAAACACTTGCAGGGCTCACGGTGCGGTATTTTAACAGTGGTGTATTGAGCTAGCAAGCTCAGCCGCTTTCGCATTACATATGGTTGTCTCGGAAAGCCCGTGCCCAATCTCCAAATGTAGAGGGGGGGTGTCTATTTGCTGTAGCTTCAGTTGTTAAACGCACTTCCTTTTCATATGAGTCTGGCCATCGCGTTTGTCACCATTAATAGTTGGTAATACGGTTCACGACGAAAAATTATACTAACTGTCAAGACCGCGGAATAATCAACGAACTGCCATAATCCACTCTTGCGCCTTTGCTCTTTGCACTGCTTGCATTGGAAACGGTAGAACTTCACAGGTAGTTTCCAGCTCTGTGACATTTTTAAACGTAATCAGCAGCTCAGAATGCAGCAGGAGTGTGTGCCTGCTTTTCGGGCTGACAAAGGAGCGGTGCCCATAGAGTGCAAAATGCGAGGTAAAAGCTCCAAGGAACAGATTTGCTGTGTGTGCAATGGAAAAACCAAGCAAGCGCAGCCCGTCCGAGCGACCAGAGCTTTGCCTTCTCTCCGCAAGGGCGGCAAACGGCGCTGCGTAAACTCAAGCCTGTCTTTTCTATTCTGTGTTCTCAAAACCTGTGTGCGTGAGTGGTACAAACAGAGGAAGGAGATCTTCAGCTGAACTTTGACCAGGAAAAGCATCTACGAGCCAGAATAGAACATCCAGATCACATGCAGACGTTCTCAAGCAGCATCATATAGACAGAGCTTGTGAAGGTGACTGCACATGATTGAGGCATATCTAGAAATATCTTGAAGTCATAAAAGTGGGTCGCCAAAAGAAAAGAACTGCCAGCAGAATAAATTTCACTTTCTATGATGGTGCATTAGGCCGGCCTCCTTTTATCTTCCGATCGTCAGCTTAGCGGCATGCTGTAGTTTTAAAAGATAATAGTTATTGCTGAAGTTTAACGTCTCAAAACCATCGTGTGGTTATGAGGGACACTGTAGTGGAGGGCCCCAAAAATGTCAACCACCTGTGGTTTTGTAACATGCACCTAAATCGAAGCAGACATGCCTCAAAGGTATAGAAGATTTTGTAGCATAGCGCACACAACACATATGAGTTACTGCAGTATAAACAGATGCTGCATTCTTTCTTGCCTTTCTGCTGTGATCGATGTACCCTGTATAATATAGTGCCATTCTATGGTGGCAGCCATTAATCTTTTGATAAATCGAAGTTTGTGAGGAGAATCAGGCTTATTCACCTGATTTAGAAGTGCTGTGATTTCTTATAAAGTGAATGAAGTTATTACAATTTTATTTTTTGGAATTCAGAACCCTTCAAATAGTAAAATTATGGTGGGAATCGAATCCAGTAGCAAACACTATATTTGAAAAATATTGTAAAATCTTGATATATTTGCGCACCACTACTTTTTATATTGAAAACGTAACTAGCTGCTTTTATTCGTGGCTATTTTTTACACTAAGTTGTCTGCCTCATGAGCCAGTGAATAGTGGTGACTAGGCTTTAATAATAACTGTGCATTGTATTGATGTACTTTTTAGCTTTAGTCTGCATTTACCAACACCATTTCACCAGATGGAAATACCTGACGTGTTGAAGGGCTATTTGCCCAACTGAAATGAAGCAGTCTTGATCGAGCTTTTACAAAACCACAACTTCTGATCACTGAATTGCCCTTCGTACCAACAAAGTTTTGAAAGCCTTATAGGGATAAAAACGTTGCAAGCCATAAAATTTTTAAAGCCGTGCTATTGTGATTTCTTTAACGACATAGTAATTTTTCTGCATGAAATGACAGTTTGAACCTTTAGAAAAGCAATCTGCAAGCGTCAGGGTTTCCCCAAACATTGTATTGTAGTGTGTGTTCTTGTGAACCACATTCACTTGCCTCACTTAGGTGGCAAAGGCATCACGGCTGACTAGTTGACTCCATTCTTGAAATTACTACAGCTATCTCAAGCAAGCACAAAAAAAAAAAATGTGCACAGCTGACTTGATTACAAACATCTATAGTAAACAACATTATTTTACTTTTGGACAAACTTTCTATGCCACTAAACTTTTATGGGTTTTCTGCCATTAATAACTCGTATTGCTTCACATTGACTGTAGAATGCAAATAACTGTCAAGAAAGTGCGTATAAAACATTTTGATGGTCAATAAACATTTTAATGTGAGAATTCTTAAAATTCTCAGTGCATGTTATATGCTTACTTCAGGTTCGTAAGTATTTAACAAGAGACCTGCACCCTCCGTATGTTAAGGAATATGTGGGCAAAATTTCATCTCAATCGGGCTATCAGACGTACCAAAACATGATGTCCTAACTCAAGTTGCCCAAAGGTGGATTTTGAGAAAAATTCATTTTAAAGGTGTGAAAGCTCATCTATATGGAAAACATGCTTTATTTTTTTTTTTTAAAGATAATTTCTTCCATCATGAGAGCTTGGCAATCATGGTTAATTCATGGCAACACGTTCAGTATCAAATACCCACAATGTTAAATCGTTTACACGGTCTCATAGATTTAAATTCCGTACCTTCGAACACCATCATCAAGTCCATCCTAATGAACCATGATATTGAGTATGCTTATTAAAGTTTCTGTACTTGATTTGTTACATCCTATCTATCAATTTGAGTTATCTGTTGTAGTTGCTTTTCTTATGCTTTATTTTACATTCTGTATTGAAGTTTCTTTTCAGATGACGCTTTTGTGATAAAGTGATTTTTCTAATGTTTTCCCTGAAATAGTGTGACAAGACCACGCTAAATTTTGTTGTGTTATGGTTTATTGTGTTATTTATTTATTCTTGTGTGTTATTTATTGTGTTATGTATTTATTTCTGAAAACATATGCGACAGATTGAGCGGCCTGCGTGCCAAACTGTATTTAGGAGCAGAGGCCCCATGTCAGGCTATATAGCCTTTAGCCTCTGCTCCCAATCCTGTAAGAATTTCAGGACAAATAAACTTCAATTCGATTCAATTCAATTCGAGCAAATGGCTTCAGTAAATCCCTCATGCAAAGTGCAATGGCAAGCAGTCAGGGGGACGATTTCCAGGGGACTCTACACAGTGAGCACTTATTGTATCCACCTTGTGCTCTTGTTATTTTAACCTACTTTAAGTTTAAATACAATCCTCGCTTTTTGTCATGAAAGTAGAAAAACAACTGTGAAAATATATGTGATTTAAAAAACAAAAAACTTGCGTTTTTCAACTCTCATCTCCCCTTAAACTGGCATTGTTTGCTGAGCATCAGCTTACCTCTGTTGTATAAGTGCTTCTCTGTTCTTGCCACCTTATTTTTTTTTTTTTTTTCTGTGCTTTTGAAGCTTAAAGCACAGTGTGCAGACGAAGAAATAGAAGAGGCAGACGAGCAAGATGAAGCTGAGTATGATGGCTTGCTAGTCCAAATGGCTGGAGACTTGGTTCCTGCAATGGCTAAGGCACTACCAGCTGAGCGGTTTGCTCCTTACATGGCAGGATTGCTGCCTTTTTTTATGGGCAAATTGGTAAGATGTACACTTATTTGTTTAGGAAATGCATATTACTAAATAGATCTTGTGGAAATCATTTGGTCATGAATCCTGCTTTTGTCTGTCAACAATGCTGTCTTGGCACAATTGGTAATCGGTATTCTTTCGGAGGGCCTCATGACACCTTCGAGGTTGTGTTGAATGAGTATTTTGATTTCATAGAAAGAGAGAGACAAGAGTGGTAGAAATTAGTTTAGTTTTTGTTTCTTATTTTCTGTTTTACTATAAGTGATGATCTTTATAGCTATGATTTGAGCCCTTTTACAGCCAAATTTCTGTTTACTGAAGAGGGGACGCAGCTTTCAGATCATGAAAAAGAGCAAGAAAACTTGCTATTTTCAAGATCAAGTTTTCGATTTCTGGAACTCTTTTCTATCTGATTCCAAAATATCTGCACTGAAAACTGTGCAGAAGTGCTTCAAAAAACTTGTTTCACCCTCCTTGGTGGTGAAAGTTATTCCAGAAATCGCGAGAAAACTGCGATTTTCAAAAAACTATAGCTTCGCAATGGCGCGGCCGGGATCCGACTTCTTGGTCTCATAGGAACCAGCATTTTTTCATGTTTCAATTCTCCGCTTCAGCTGGCTTCTCCATTCAGAAAGAGCCGCACAAAAATTAAATACCTGCAGGACGTTAGGAGGCCTTCAATACACCGTATCCGCCATGTTGCCCCAGCTTGCCTCACCATTGGCCTGTTGCTCGCTCTAGGAGATCGTCGTCTACTGCTTGGGGACATGGCTTGTGGGACATGGACATGGTTGTGGGACATGGCTGTCGAAAATAGCTACTTTCTGACGTATTCACAGCTTGATGATCACTTCGGATGTAATTACACTTTAGTTAGGAGCTGTAAGTGGATGCTCAGTCAAATTACTATGGTGCGCTGTGCTCATAGGCCCCGCCCCGCACCATCGAAGTTATCTTTATGCCCGACTCTGCTAACAAAGGTACGAACCTCGAACTTTGCGGACAAGAACAACGCCTTAGCACAATCGTGGCAACATGCTTCTCCGCAATTCAAATTGGTTCTGAAAGTTGAGTGGCTGTACTAACTACTAGAAAGTGCTGGGTGCACAAGAAATAAATTCAGCATGTCAAAATCGACAATCCAAAGCACCGATCACCGGTGATTGATTTGAATAGGCATGTTATCAAAAGAGTTAATTACATTGTAAAGTTTTATTAAAAGATTTTAAAAAATCAAGTTATTTTTGTGCACTGACATGTAGAAAAGTGCTGACCTGCACTATCACTAATTAGGAGGCTTGTGCAAATAGTCAATTCAAGGTTCGAAGCGAATAGTGCTTTTGGTCGAAGAATTGAATTCGAATAGTATATATGTTGCATATTATCAATAAATTGGCATATTTGTCATGACCTAACTAATCTGCACAAAATTTTTTAGAAGTTGGAACAAGGCCTGTGCAAATGCCATTTTTTTGTGTCAAAGGAAGTGGAAATAACTTTAATAGTAGCAAGATTTGACTTTCGGTAAATGCAAGTGATAGCCTGTAAACTATGTTATGTTTTAAAACTTGGCATACTTGGAGCATACAAGCTTTTTACTTAAACAAGAAATCGATGCGAGGGCAATATCTTCAGTTAACCTTGAAGTGAGGCTTCGCGACAGTGCAGACTTTCTTTGAATGCATGTTTTCACGGTTTTTCACTACTTCGCTGCTGTGAAACCAATTTTACAGTGAGTTGCATGCTAATATAGTACATTTGAATAGGTGCTTTCATGGCTTAGCACTGCTTTACTGCTGTGAAACCATTTTTACAGGGTGTTACATGCAAGTCATGGTCAGCTGCGAAGCAACTGATCATGGCGGCGGTCAGATCTGCAATGCAGCAGAGGGTGCTAAGAATCTCTGCATCCGTACAGGCCGCCATTGGAACCTGAACTTGGCAGCATTTAACGCTAGAACCTTATCTAGTTAGAGAAGTGTAGCTGTACTGTTCGAGGAGCTAGAGGGTGTTGTATGGGATATAATAGGGCTCAGTGAGATTCGGAGGACAGATGAGGCCTATACGGTGCTACAGAATGGGCACGTCTTTTGCTATCGAGGCATTGCTGACAGAAGAGAACTGGGAGTGGGGTTCCTAACTCACAGAATCATAGCTGGTAACATAGAGGAATACTATAGCATTAATGAAAGGGTGGTAGGTATCGTAATAATAATAACTGAATAAGAATAATAACTGAATAAGAGATAAAAGATGAAGGTGGTACAGGCTTACGCGCCTACATCCAGCCATGATGACGCTTCAGTTGAAAGCTTCTATGAAGACGTGGAATCGGCAATGAGTAAGGTAAAAACCCAGTATACTATACTGATGGGAGACTTTAATACAAAGGTAGAGTAGAAGCAGGCTGGAGACCAGGCAATAGGAGATTATGGCATCGGTACTAGAAATGCCAGAGGAGAGCTACTAGTAGAATTCACAGAACGCAATAATTTATGGATTTTGAATAGCTTCTACCGAAAACGAGGAAACTGCAAGTGAACATGAAGGAGCCCCAATAGCGAAAATAAGAACGAAATAGACTTTATAATGAGTGCACACCCAGGCATCGTGAGGATGTGGAAAAGGTTGGCACGGTACGATGCAGTGACCATAGAATGGTACGGTCTCAAATTCGCCTAGACTTGAAGAAGGAACGACAGAAACTGATACGCAAGAAGCCAATCAATGAGATAGCACTGAGAGGGAAAGTACAGGAATTCAGAGTCTCGCTTCAGAACAGGTACTCGGCTCTTAGTGAGGAAACCAACCTTAGTGTAGATACAATGAATGATTATCTGACGAGTATCATTACGGACTGTGCAGTGGAAGTTTGGAGGCAGGGTAGTTAGGCAGGACACTGGCAAGCTTTCCCAGGAAACGAAGAATCTCATTAAGAAGCGCCAAATCATGGAAGTCTCAAGTACAACAGACAAAGTAGAACTGGCAGAGCTTTCGAAGTTGATTAATAGGCGTAACGTATGCGATGTAAGAAGGTATAACATGGAGAGAATTGAACACGCTCTCAAAAACGGAGGAAGCGTCAGAGCAGTGAAGAGGAAACTTGGGATAGGCAAAAATCGGATGTATATGCACTAAGGGACAGAGAAGGCAAAATAACTACCAATATGGATAGGATAGTTAAAATAGCGGAGGAGTTCTACAGAGATCTGTACAGTAGCCGGGATAACCACAACCTTAATACTATAAGAACTAGCAGTAACCCAGATGACACCCCACCAGTAATGATAGAAGTCAGAAAATCTTTGGAGAGCATGCAAACAGGCAAAGCTGCTGGTGAGAATCAAGTAACATCAGATCTGCTGAAAGATGGAGGACAGATTGTGTTAGAAAAACTATCCACCCTGTTTACGAGGTGTCTCCTGACGGGAAGAGTACCAGAGTCTCGGAAGAATGCTAACATCATCTTAATACATAAAACAGGAGATGACAAGGACTTGAAGAATTACAGGCCGATCAGCTTGCTCTCTGTACTATACAAGCTATTTACAAAGGTGATTGCTAACACAGTAAAGAAAACATCAGAATTCGATCAACCAAAGGAACAAGCAGGATTTCGAACAGGCTATTCAACAATCCACCACATTCATACTATCAATCAGGTAATAGAGAAATGCTCAGAATATAACTAACCACTATACATAGCCTTCATAGATTATGAGAAGGCATTTGATTCAGTAAAACTATCAGCCGTCATGCAGACACTGCGGAATCGGGGTGTCGATGAAGTATATGTAAACATCCTGGAAGAAATCTACAGGGGATCAATTGCTACCATAGTGCTTCATAAAGAAAGCAACATAATACCAATCAAGAAGGGTGTAAGGCAGGGGGACACAATCTCCCCAATGCTACTTACCGCGTGCTTACAGGAGGTTTTCAGAAGCCTAGAATGGGAACAGTTAATGATAAGAGTTAATGGAGAGTACCTTAGTAACCTGCGTATCGCCGATGACATTGCATTGCTGAGTAACTCAGGGTACAAATTGCAACTCATGATTACAGAGTTAGACAAGGAGAGCAGAAAGGTGGGTCTTAAAATTAATCTGAAGAAAATGAAAGTAATGTACAACAATTTCGGAAGAGAGCAGCGCTTCGAGATAGGTGATAGTGCACTTCAAGTTGTAAAAGACTATGTCTATGTCTACTTAGGGCAGGTAATAACCGCGGAGCCGAACCACGAGATTGAAGTAACTAGAAGAATAAGAATGGGGTGGAGCACATTTGGCAAGCACTCTCAAACTATGAGAGGTAAATTGCCACTATTCCAGCTATATAATAGCTGTATCTTGCCGTTACTTAAGTACGGAGCAGAAACCTGGAGACTTACAAAGAGGGTTCAGCTTAAATTGAGGACAACCCAGCGAGCAATGGAAAGAAAAATGGTAGGTGTAACCTTAAGAGACAAGAAGAAAGCAGAGTGGATTAGGGGACAAACGGGGGTTAAGGATATAATAGTTGAAATCAAGAAGAGGAAATGGGCATGAGCCGGGCATGTAGCGCCCGGCTCATGCCGGGCGCTACATAGGATAACCGCTGGTCATTAAGGGTAACAAACTGGATTCCCAGAGAAGGGAAGCGGGTATGGGGGAGACAGAGGGTTAGGTGGGCAGATGAGATTAAGAAGTTTGCGGGTATAAATTGGCAGCAGCAAGCACAGGACCGGGTTAACTGGCGGATCATGGGAGAGGCCTTTGTCCTGCAGTGGACGTAGTCAGGCTGATGATGATGATGATGACATGCAAATTGATTTATATTTATTTGTTCAATTCAAATAATTCTAAATGTTCAATAACTTTGATTCAATACGAAGTATTCAAATATGCATACAAGGCTACTAATTATAGATGTGATTGGCTACACCTATGGTCAAGATTGGGGCTATTTGCACAGTTTTTGGTGTTATTAGTTCCAGAATGCTGTGAAACCGGCTCTTCAGTAAACAAAAACCAAAGATATTAACTTCAATATCACAAGTTTTATTGCCCTTTAGAAACTGCAGCATTTCCTTGAAGTTTAAAAAGGACTCGTGTTGACTCCCTTGGCTTAAAGTTCTTTCTGAATAGGTCTTCTTTAGAGTGCTACCATGCAACTGTGTTTTTTTATGCCCATAAAAGTCTTTATTACTCACTGTTCACCACTTTTCATCCAGAAAAGGCACAGCAGCACATCAGACAGGTCATACGCAGTTGGTACTCTTGCTGAAGTGGCTGCAAGTATGGGCGAAGAAGGCATTGGCCCATTTTGCCGCCCACTGCAACAGATTTTCCTTAATGGAATGCGTGATCGAAATGGTGAAGTACGTAGCAATGCTGTATATGGACTTGGTGTACTCATCAAAAATGCACGTGAAATACTTCAACCGTATCCTTTTATATATTTACTCATCCTTTCTGTCTTTTCAGTGTCGAAGGGTAGTTCTTTCTGTATAGCTGATGTATGTAAATAGAGTGCATATTTTGCCTCCGCATGCCACAACTGTGTATTTCTGTTTTGCTAATCGCTGCTTCTTTCCATTCACTTTGCAGTATCCGAATTGAACACATTGGTATTGTCACGTGCGTCCTGCGAGAAAGACGAAGGCGACAGTGCATATGCACATCTGCACGTTTTTATGCAGAACGCAAGAACGAGAAAGATGAGGAACTTTCTGGGGCGCGGTAAATAAAAAGACCGACCCGCTGCTGCTTTACTTTCGACGTGCACGAAAAACAATTTTTTAACTGGTGTATCAGCTCTAGTAGGCGCTGTTTATCCGAGGCTAACAAGGTGGCGCAAATGTCGACAGCAGACAAAGGTGTCGAGGCTGGGACGGTCGCGTCGTCCGGCTTCAAAGCGAAGCAATCTCTGGCTTGGTCCACCACGTCGTCGTAGGCAATGGCGGTGCCCTTCTGGATGTGACGGCGCTCATTGCTGAAGTTGGTGAGGAGCACTTCTGCCCGCCCATCAGTTAGTGCCAGAACGTCTCTTGTTATTAAAACACCTTGCGTAACCAATAGTGTGTCTATTCACTCCGCTGTCACCTCGTTACGGCACCGCCGTTTACATAACACCGACACAAGGCAGGAAGATCTCGGCAGGAGCATCACATCATCGGCTGCACGTAAATGTTGCAGTTGTTCTTCAGTGGTGTCGTCAACCTAAGGATGGGCAAAAAGGTGACGATTTGTTCTGGAATGTTGATGACAGCACCGTACTCTCGCAGAAAATTCATACCCAAAATCAACTCTTTACAACAGTCCGGTAAAATGACAAAAGTGGCGACGAAGCTCGAATCACCGATTACGAGCTGAGCGGTGCATTTACCAGTTGGCGTCATTAGCTGTCCACCAGCACTCCTTATGTTCGGCCCACTCCACGGCGTCTTGACCTTCTTAAGGCGGTCTGCGAGCTCTTGTCTCATAATAGAGAAGTCAGCACCAGTGTCAACTGATGCTGTTACGTATTGTCCGTCTCTAATAACGCTAAGGTCGGCTCGTACAAATTTGTCGGCATTAGTACTCGTGGTTGTCGTCGTCTTCGTCATTACTGTCGTCACGTCGTTTTCGTGTAGAGGCAAGGGGGTCTTTTCGGCGTCTCTTTAATTGGCAACCTTGCCCCCGGAGGTCGCGGCAGTTATTTTCTCTGGCACGGGCTTGGGGAGCGGTTTCTGATGGCATCAGCGTAATTTTGGTGATTCGGGGAAGTGTGACCTCGTGCAGGTGAGGGAGACCGCCAGCGACGACTTGGTGAAGACGCTTGGTTGGTCGGCAGGTGATCAGCACCATGGTCACGAGGGTCTTGAAAATAAAACGAAGCGGGACAAAAAAAAAGCTTTCAAACCGGGCTTCTCGATGACGGCAGTAGCGCAAGATGTCACCTGATTTGCCGCAGTGGAAACAAAGGAGTCGGCAGTCAGCAGTTCACCACAAGTCGGTCCGACATACTGGTGGTCGCCGCACAGATTCCCGCTGCCACCAAGGCAAGATAACGGGCCGTGGCTGAAAGGGTGCTTCTTCTGGGGCAGGCGGATGACGGCGGACGGCATCAGCATAGGTCAATGGACGTAATTCAGGTGGTGTTGCCGGTGATGGAAAGGCTTGCCGTAGTTCGTGGCGCACGATTTTCGCAACAGAAGCAACTGGAGGCTCGGTAAACGGAAGGCCGAGGGCCCGCAGCTTTTCCCGCAGGATTTGTCTAATCATTTGCTGCAGACAGCTTTCGGAAACAGCAGGGTTTTGAGCGGAAAACCAACAGGCGTTTGGTCAGGCAGGCGGTCAAAGTGGCGGCATCGTTGCCGGAGCGCCCGCTCGATGACAGTCACCTCTTTGATAAATTCACCCACTGTTGTTAGCGAATTTCATACAAGGCCGGCGAAAAGCGGTTCCTTAACTCCCCACATCAGGTGACGAACTTTCCTCGCCTCAGGCATGTCAGGGTCAGCACGGCGAAATAGACGGGCCATATTCTCAGCGGACATTGCGACGCTTTCATTTGGCTTTTACACGCGGGCTTCAATCATCTGTTGTGCAAAATCCCGTCGGTCCACATTCGAGAACGTCTCGAGAAGCTTTTGGCGGAAATTGTCCCAGGTTTGGAAAGTAGGCTCTTTGTTCTCGTACCATGTGTGAGCGCTATTTTCCATTGCGAAATAGGCACGGCTAAGTTTCTCTTGCGCGCTTCAGCGATTAACCACAGTGGTCCACTCGAACTGGTCGAGCCAGTTCTCGACATCTTCATACGGTTCTCCACGGAAGACTTCGGGAACACGAGGAGGCTCAAAAGTTACCTGGGAAGAAAGAGTCATTTGGGCCCGAGGAAGATTCGCAGACATTGAAGAGGCCGCCATGTTAGTAAAAGAAGATGCAGGTAAGAGTTCTGGACATAGGCCTAGTAGGCGCCGGCTGAATCGGTGTGCTGGAGTCGTAACAAGATGTTCATGCTCCGGACTGGGTGTACGGTCCCGAACGACACTTTCCTGCATCAGGTTGCAGGCCCCAGCACCTCCACCAGTGTCGCGACGTGAAGACAGAGGTCATATTTGAAGAAGCTGAGAAAGCAGCAGCGGTTCAGTTTTTTATTTACCGCGCGCCAGAGACTTCATCTTTCTCGTTGTTGCGTTCTCCATAAGAGCGTGCAGATGCGCGTATGCACTGTCGCCTTCGTCTTTCTCGCAGGACGCACGTGACAGTATGTTTGTTATCTGTGCAAGATACATAACAATACGCTGATAACTTCAAAAATAGAAGCCATTTATTTAGGTACTGTTATGTAATCAAGAGTACGACAAGTTTGTCTGGCCAGATAACATGATGAGGATGAAGATTTGGTCACTGACGAAGTCAAGGTGAAAAAAACGGTACGTTGTCACATTGACTTGGTAAGTAACCGCACTCATCTTCTTCTGCAGATGCTGATATGTTAATATTGTTACGGGGAAGATTTATTCACCGAGAGCTGGTCTTGCTAACGGCTTAGAGAGCGCACAGTCATGCAGGCAAAACGGGAGAAGCTCGAGAGTCCAACCCACAACAACCACGTTGTCGTCTTCTTCATTTGGGTGCCAATTCAGCTGTGTCGGGGCGATAGTTCCGTACACGTATCATCACCCTGGCCCGTAAGGCACCGTCTCGGTGCCTGTTAAATGAGCGAGTCGGCGTTGTAGGGCTTGAGACGAGAAACGTGGACTACTTCCGTTCTGGGTGCAGCAGCTGATGAGTTTGTGGTAGTGGCAATCTCGTAGGTCACAGGTGTGACCTGACGAATGACTCGGTAGGGCCCAGCGTATCGCGATAGTAGTTTCTCGCAGAGGCCGACACGTCAAGATGGGAGCCACAGGAGAACAAGAGATCCCGCTGAAAAAACGGCATCTCTATGTCGACGATCATAATGGGACTTCTGTGCTGTCTGCAACGACGATAACCGAGCGCGTGCGTGCCGTGAGGGCCCGGGTGGTCGCATCCTGAGCGTACGAAGTGGAGGATGGGTGGTCTGATGAAAGCATTGTGTCGAAGGGCAGTAAGAGATGACGTCCGAAGAGTAGATAAAAAGAGGAGTAGCCCACTCTTTCATGACGCGACGAGTTATAGGTGAAGGTTACAAACGGAAGAGCTATGTCCCAATCAGTGTGGTCGGTAGATACGTACATGGCAAGCATGTCTGTGAATGTGCGGTTTAGGCGCTCCGTAAGGCCGTTAGTCTGAAGGTGGTAAGATGTGGTGAAGTTGTGACGGGTAGCTCAAGATCGGAGTAGATCATCAACCACACGAGATAGAAAGTAGGGACCACGGTCTGTGAGCAGGTGAGACGGAGCGCTATGCTGGAGAATAATGTCGTACAGCAGGAAGTCGGCAACGTTGGTTGCGCAGCTGGTAGGTAGCACTCGAGTGATTGCATACCGAGTGGCATAGTCTGTGGCCACTGCAATTCATTTATTTCCAGTTGTAGAAGTAGGAAAGAGACCTAGCAAGTCCAACCCCCCACTCGATAAAATGGCTCGGCTGGAACTTCAATAGGTTGAAGAAGACCGGCAGGGGGAGCCGTAGGCCTCTTTCGGCGCTGGCAGAGGTCGCAAGATGCGACGTAACGGCGAACAGAGCGGTAGAGACCCTTCCAGAATACTCGTCGTCGAATGCGGTCGTAAATTCTGGAGACTCCTAGTTGTCCAGAAGTTGGAGCGTCGTGGAATTGTCGCAGAACATCCTTTCGCAGGTGATGCGGTACGACGAGTTGAAGTTCTGCGCCGTCGGGGTGTAAGTTGCGGCGGTACAAAACGCTGTCTTGAAGTAGGTATCTGCTAACAGAAGGGTCAGCATAATGCGATTGAAGGGGGTCAATGATGGTGAGCAGCAATGGATCTCGGCGCTGTTCGTCGGCCACGTTCAGAAAGTCAGTGATGGCTAAAACGCAGGCATCGGATTCCAAATCAGTGGAGCTAGGTGGATCAACGGGGTGCCGGGATAAGCAGTCAGCATCGCTGTGCAGCTTTCCAGATTTGTAAACAACCGAGAACGTGTACTCCTGTAATCGAAGTGCCCATCGGCCGGGTCTTTCTGTAGGGTCCTTAAGCGTCGACAGCCAGCAAAGCGCATGATGGTCCGTGATGACTGCGAACGGACGTCCGTATAAGTACGGACGGAATTTTGCAATAGCCCAAACGAGGGCTAAGCATTTTCGCTCAGTGATGAAATAATTTTGTTCCGCTTGCGACAAAAGGCGGCTAGCGTAGGCTATCACAGGGCTGGTGCCATTCTGTATCTGAGCGAGTATAGCACCAATGCCATGGCCGCTTGCATCAGTGCAAAGCTCTGTTCGAGCCGCTGGATCAAAATGAACCAACACAGGTGGTGATGTGAGGGCGGTAATCAGCGACGCGAAGGAATGTT